GGTGACACCGCAGCGGTGCTCCCCGGGTCACACTGGCACTCACGGATGCTCTGAGGGATGTGCTGGCCCGTCACGCTGACACAAAACACCACGTGGAAGCTGCAGGGGGACACCACCAACAAGCTGCTCAGAGACCTGTCCTGTGCCCACGGTGGTGTCCCCATGGTCCGCACGGTGGTGTCCTCATAGTGTCCCCACGGCAGTGTCCCCATGGCAGTGTCCCCTCACCAGCTGACACGGACGCTGGAGTCGGGCAGGACACAGTCCAGGATCTCAGGGTTCAGCCCGTCGGGGACACTCAGCTGGGTCCGGGCCACCACCACGGGCAGTCCCCTGGGGCACGGGGACATTGCTGAGGTGCCAGGGGACCCAAGAGGGAGCCCCGGACCACCGCAAGGACGGGCACTCACTGGTACACGGCCACCTTGGCCGCCCCGTAAGCCCCCACGAGCAGATCTGCAGGGACAAGCAGAGGGTCGGTGCCGGGGTGGTGACAGCGGGGTGGCAGGGCGGTGGCAGGGCGGTGTCGTGCCAGGGCTGTACCCGCGTAGCCGTTGCCGTCCAGGTCGGCGGCACCACGCAGCGCGAAGCCGAAGGCGGCGGGGCCGGGGAAGGGGCTGTCGAGGCGCTGGATGGGCACCGGCGCCAGCCCCTCGCTCTGCCCGCGGAAGATGAAGACCTGCCCGCTGCCACTGTCACCGCCCTGCGGGGCGCCCACGGCCACGTCTGGGGACAGAAGGGAAGTGAACGCCCACCCGCGCTCTCCTGCCTCAGTTTCCCCAAGGCGCGGCACCGGGGGTGGCACATCCTCCTCCCCGCCCCGCCGCGCAGTTACCGCCGAAGCCGTCCTTGTCCAGGTCCCCGAGGCTGGCGATGGCGGCGGCGAAGCGGCCGTAGGGGTGGGTGCCCGTCAGGGTCTGGGGGGGCCCGGCGAGGGGCTGCTGTCCCCGCCCCAGGTAGAGGTAGAGGCGCCCCAGCTCGCTGCGCTGCCCGTCGGAGCGCCGGGCCATGTACAGGGGCGCACCCACCAGCAGGTCATCTCGCCTGTGCCCGGAGCGGGGTCAGGGTCAGGGCACGCAGGTCTGGGAGCACCCAGCGGTGTGCCAGGCACGGGGCAGCACCCCTGGGTGTCGCCTAGGATGAAGGGGTGGACGACTGTCCCGGTTCTCACCCGTCCCCATCGACATCGGCCACTGCCACCGTGTGCCCGAAGTACGAAGCCACCTGGAAAGGGTGAGGGTGGCACCGGGGGTGCCAGGGGCACAGTGGGGGGGGGGGCTGGGGTGCTGTGGGACGGGGGCAGGAGCGCTGTGGAGCACCGGGGGTGCTGGGGGTGTCACAGGGCAGGGGTACCTGCTCGCTGGCAATGCCCCGCAGCCAGCGCAGGGTGTCCCCCGCAGTGAAGATCTCCACCTGCCCAGGGCAGTGTCAGATGCCAGGCCCAGCCCGGGGTGACACGTGGTGGTGTCCCCTGGTGTCCCCTCGGCACTCCACAGCACTCACCTCACCCCTCGTGTTGCTCTTGTTGGGGACCCCCACCACGTACTCTGTGAGGGATGAGAGCCCTGAGTGCCCCAGTGGGACACTGAGGGGGGCACAGGGATACCCCCGGCACTGGGGTGGGCACATGGATACCCCTGGTGCGACATGGGGCCATGAGGGCACAGAGATGGATGGGACCCCTGTCCTGGCACAGCCTGTCCAGCCCCCTCGGGAAGGGACCAAGGTCATTCTGGAGCCCCGGGGTGCCCCAAGCCCACCAACCCCCGTTCCCTGCACCCCTCAGCCCTACCTTTGGTTTTGGGGTTGCCATCAAACTCGCCCACAGCTACCGAGTATCCTGCAGGGAGATGGGCATTGGTGACCCCGGGGTATCCCCGCAGGAGCTGGCAGTGGGGCAGTGTGCCTATGCCCATTGCTCACCCCGGTACCCGTCCTCGTAGTCCCCAGACACCGGCTCCGTGGGGCGCCCGGGGCTCCCCAGCCACAGCAGGGACGTGCCGAGGAAGCGCCTGAGGATCTTGTCCAGCTCCACCGAGTACACGAGCCCTGGGGCACACCGCGGCGGGGGGAACCAGCACTGACGGGGCACCCGCTGCCACACGCCCTAGGCTGCCAGCGCCACTGCGGGTGGCACTTACGGGGTACCGCATGCGGGGTGCCCTCCTCCCGCCGTGCCCACGCCGGGAGCACCAGCCGGGGTGGCAACGCCGGCAGGAAGGACTCACCTGTGAAGTAGTACCCGCCGGGGGCACCCAGTACCAGCGTCCCATCCTGCGAGAGGAGCTGGCTCAGCACCACCCCGGGGCACCCTGGCATACCCCCAAAGCATCCTCCCCCAAGTATCCCCCATCCCAGTATTTCCCATCCTGGCACATTCCAGTCCAGCATCTCCCATCCCGGCACCCCCACCCCAGCGTCCCCCCCGCTCGTAGGACCTCTCCTCCCGGAATTCCCACTGCAGCATCCCCCACCTCAGCATCCCGACCCCAACATCCCCCGCCGTGACACCCAGGTACCATCCTGGCTACACCCTCTGCACCTCTATCAGCCCCCCCGGGCATCCCGGGTGGCACCCCGGCGGCGCCGCCCCCCGATGCCCCCAAAGTGCCCGAGCCCCTCAAATCCCCTCTCACCGGGGTGACAGCGGCGCTGAAGCCGATCTCGCAGTAGCGCTTGTCGTGCACTGAGGGCACAGGGCAGGGTCAGACGGACGCGGGGTTGGGAGCCCCCCCGCCCCCCGCTCCCCCTCACCGTAGTTCGTCTGGCGGTAGGTGCTGGCCATGGTCTGGTCTCGGCAGGGCGAGTACCACACCGCGCTCCGCTGCCCCGGGCTCCGCACGAAGCAGGTGCCCGTCGGGGTGCGGAACGCCTCTTGCTGCCCCTCCAAAGCGTTCCAGTGCTGCAGCGGGGCACAGACCTGGGCACGGCGATGGGACAGGCTGGGTGCCCATTCCGCCAACACCCAAGGCTGCCCACACCCCCTCCGGATGCACCCACCACCAGTTTGCCGTCCCAGCTGGTGACGGACGCTCCCAGCCACTGGTGCGACTTGTAGGTGTGGAACTCCAAGGTGCCCTGGCTCTCGCTCTCGTCCCCTGGGGGAGCGGGAGAGGGGGAATGTGCGGAGCTGGCACCCCCCGCGCCCGCTCCCCCGCCCCACGGCACCCACGCACCCGTAGTGTCGATGGGCAGGGGGTGGCAGGGGGTCTTGTCTGGGGGCCAGGAGCACAGGAAGACGGCGCCGGGCTGAGCCACACCGGGCTGCGAGGTGTTGGCACGGGGGGCCCCCACGGCCACGCTGGGCCTGGGGGGCAGAGCGGGTGTCAGGGTCGGCGGGCGTGTGCCGTGCCCGACCCCGATCCCCCGGTGCCTCCCTACCTTCCCTCGCTCATGTGGAAATCCAGGGCGAAACCGAAATAGCTGCCGGGGGGTCCCTCGTAGATGGTGGGGGGCTCTTGGAGAAGCCCCAGCGTAGGGGGCAGGCGCAGCCCCCCGAGGAGCAGCAGCACCCGCAGGAGCCCCATCGTCACCCCAAAATGAGGCCACAGCCGCCGTCCCTGGCTTATCTCGGGGGACGCAGCTGGGGCCGGGCCCATCAGGAATGGGGAACACAGGAAGGGCCCCCCCGGACGCATATCCGCTCCTGCACGGAGCCGGAGAGGTGCGGGGGAGACGGATGTGGCCGGAGCAGGGCGGGGGACAGGAGGTGGCAGTGCCACCGGGAGACACGGTGACAGGGTGGGGGACACGGCCACAGCAGCCTGAGCCTATCGCCCGCCGGGGCCGCACCCAGCCTGCCGCGGGGTGCCAGGCTCGGGGTGGCTATTTCGGGATGTGCATCTTAGGGTGGCTATTTCGGGGTGCAGGCAGTCCCTACCAGCGGAAATGCGGCGAGCAGGGGAGGGCAGCAGGGCACAGGGCCCCTCCATCGCCCCCGATATCCCCTCCGCAGCCGGATGTTGCTGACAGCACCGAGCCCGCCCGCACTGAGCATCACCCCCACAGTGTCACCTTCCCCAGGGCAGGGACACCCCAAACCCCTGCCAGGGCAGAGGCAGCAGCAGCGCTGGGCAGGGCAATGGCTCTGGCAAGGGACCGGGGGCAGGCTGGGACAGCCCACGGCCAAGTGAACAAGGCGTGTCCTTGTCTCCGTGTCCCTGTCCCTGTGGGAGAGCCGGTGCCCGCAGTCAGGCCTGGGGCAGCCGCGGGGCTCAGCCCTGCCCGGACAGCGGCATCAGCCCCTGAACTCCTGAACCCACCTGCTTAATTAATTTTAACTCTGTTAATTAAGCACAGTCAGACTGCCCGAGATCACCGGGAGCTCCTTGTGCCAACCCAGCGCCCGTGGCCGGGAGAGGCCCCGGAGCGGCTCCCGGGGACGCAGCCCGTGTGAAACGGGGCTTTTCTCCTCTCCGTCTCTGAAGCTGCAGGTGGGAAGCAGGAGAGGAGAGTCGGGGGGTTTTGGGGGGCACAGGGGTCCCCGCAGAGCCAAACGGCAGCTGGCCCCTGACGGGGAACACCGTCCCCGGAGCGGGGTCTGCTCCAGCCCTGCGGAGCAGCTGTAGCTGGGAGAGAGCGGCGTTTGCCCAAAGCCGTGGCAGAGCTCCGAGGGGTGGGAAGGGTTTAGCTGAGCCCGGAGCAGCTCCTGCCAGGACAGGACACCGGACTCAGGGGCAGCTGCTCCTCTTCGGGAGGTCTCGTCCCCAGCTTGCCGCAGCATCTGAACCCAGCTGGAGCCCACACCAGACCCCCTGAGGGCAATTATAATCCTTTCTTCTGTCCAATGCCTTCATTTCCTGTTTCTTTCAGCACTGCCGCACCATCCCTCATCAGCCACCTCCTCCCAGGGCCACCGCCAGGGATGGGCAGGTGGCACCTCGGACCCCGAGCCTGCTGGCATGCAGGGGGTGGATTTTTTTTCCTTTAATCAAACCAGGACTTTGGTTAGGAAAAGTGGCTGGTGCTCTGCACAACAGCTTCCCCCAGCATGATATCTCTTTTTCCACAAATCATTGATTTATTAGAAAGGTTTTTTTCCCTCATTTTACAGCATATATATATATTTATATATATATCTTATGTGACAAAGTTAAATACAGTCTGTTTATGCTTGTTAAGTAATGACAGGTTAATTATTTTAGCGCTATCCTGAAGTCCAAAAACAACCTCTGCCCACAGCACGATGGGGCCAGGGCACAGATGGGCCCTATGAAGCTCAGCTCTGACAGTAACACTGAATTGTTCGGTATTTACAGGAAATTGAGTCCCTTTTTTGTGACTGCTGCCACTCTGACCTGCTCCAATTTCTCATTTACATGGTGAGGGAGGCTCAGGGGGTTTTGATCCTTTGACTCTGCCTGGCCTCGTACTGCACTCCAGGAGGGGACAGGAAGAGGATGGGGAATGGGACTGGAAAGGGATGGGGATGTCACCACATCCCCACACTGCTCTGAAATCCCTCCCTTCCAGCAGTGGTGGCCCAAGGGCTGTGACACCTGCAGTGCGCCTGTGAGTGGGGACAGCAGCAGTGGGGACATCCCCTGCACTGGGGTGGGGAAGCTCCCATGGGCAGTGTCACCTGAGCTAGGTGAAGCTGGCAGAACTGGGAAATCCCTTACGGACTAAGCTGGGGTAACCCTCTGTGTGGGCTGGGAACAGTCCCAAGGCTCCTCCTGCACCAGCAGGGTCTGCACATTACTGTTTCCAAAGGGGGAGAAAAAGGAAATGAAAAAAAAGGGCTCCTATTCTCTGGGAGCACCCTGAATTCCTGCTGCTCCCCAGGCTGCTCCAGTGCCCATTCCTATGGCAGGGAGGAATGCAAAACCTGCCAGAGTCACTGTGACCCCCACACCCCTCACCTTGCCCAAGTCTCACCTGTTGATTTTTTTTTTTCTTCTGCAAAATTCTAAATGAAGATTTTTTTGTTTTTACATTTTATACTACATAAAAACTTCAAAAATACATGAGCTTGATAAAATATACATGCTTAGCTGTTTTGCATGTAGCTGAAACTATAAATTGAACCTTTACAAGTGTCTTGGGTTACCTACGGCAAACATATTTACACAGAAGCCACCAGAACAAGTACCACTAAGAACTGGCTGTAAAAAATATTATTGCGATATACTACAAATGTAACCTTTGATAGGAGCTACAAAAAGCAGCATCTTTGTTTACAGAGTTCAGTGCAATTCTTTACATTAAAAAAAAAATCCTATAAATTAATAAGGAAACCATCAGTGTTACAGAGGAAAGAACACGTTTTACATCCAGGCCGCGCTCCCCCGTCCTCTGTATTGCTTCAATTCCTAACAGGATTTTCCTTCTCTCTCCCATCCCAGTGCCTCTTTCCCAACCCCACAGAAGATGGAATTCAGAGTGATTTTTCCCCCCTTTCAGGAGAAGAGTGGTCACAGCCCAGACTGGAAGCCCAACCCCAGAACCTCTCTCCAGTATGGGATATCCAGGCATGGTTCTGGTGCAGGAGAACATGGATGCAGGATGGAGAAGGGAGCTCTGGGCACACACACAGAGCTCCTCCTCCTCTTTACACTAAGATCTTACTTCCACCTTTGCTGCTCACACCAAGAAAAACCCATGTCTGCAGAGACAGGGGCCAAGGAACCTCCTGCAATGCCTGAAAAGCTGAGGCCTCCAGTCCCCCTGCAGCCGGCAGCTCCCGATGTTCCATGACCAATTACAAGCCGGATTCAATCATGCTATTTAATTAGATGACCTCATTAAAAGGATTTTTAGAGATCCTATTAGTGTGTATGAAACCTCATTTATCATATACAAGGTGGCAGAAGGAAGATGACCAAGTGTAAGAATCCAGGGGGGAAAAAAGCCTTTCCAAGTGTCTCGCTGTTCTAAAGGTGAAATGGTTCTTCTGGAGCGGTGCTGCTGCGTGCACGGAGGAGTCGGAGTGAGACTTCCCTGGGACACAGCCAACTGCCTAGCCCTGGAGCCCCTGGCTTCTTTGGCTGCTCAAGAGTGAAAGGAAATGCTCAGGCCTCACCTGCCCGCTGGCTCGACTCTGACCCCTGACCAAAACGCCAAATATTCTCCTTACTCCGAGGTTCCTTCATTTTGTCCTTCATGTGCCGTGGCTGGGTGGATGCTGCAAGTCCTGTCCTGAGAAAATGGGGTGCAGCAGGGGGTGGAGGTGCAGGGCTGTGGCAGCAGCAGCAGCTGCTGGCCTTGGAGCCAGGAGGGTCGGGTAGAGAGCGTGAGGGACAGGGTGGAAGGTGAAGGGGCCCGGGTGGATGGCAGATGCCGGAATGATGTGGATGGGGTGGCTGGCCAGGAACGTGGCGGGGTGCCCCGGAATAATTGAGTGGGTCAGGTGGGACAAGGAAATGGGTGTCAGGTGTGGCTGGGGGATGTGGTGGACCTGAGCGAGGGGCTGCGGGTGCGGGTGGGGGTGGATGCCGATGGCGGCGGCGGCGGCAGCGGCGTGGTGCTGCAGGATGGCGTGCTGCACCGTCGTGATGGACGTGGCCGAGGCCGCCGCCGGCTGCTGGATGTGGATGGGCTGGAGCGCGGGCGCGGCCGGAGCCAGGGCGGCCGAGGTGGGGAAGGCCTTCACTTGCTTGGCCAGCAGCTGCTGCTGGATGTGCTGCTGGGCCGCCTGCTGCAGCTTGCTGTACTTCTCCATCTCTTCAGGCGTGAAGGTGATGGGCTGGCTCTCCAGCGGGGCTAGAGAGGAATCTTCTCCCCCATCCCGATCTCCTTCCAGGCTCGGCTCCCCACTCTGAGGCACGTAGCCAGGAAAGTGCTCAACATCTGGAACTAAGGGCATCATACTGGTTTCCACTGGGACCGGCTGGCTGCCCCCGTCCATAGGCTCCAGCCCATCACCATCGCTTGGATCCGAGAGGAAGTTGTGTGGCATGACCAGTTCTCCGGAGCCAAAGCACTCAGGAAGTGCCGGAGCGTCAAGGGGAAGGGATGGCATCTCCACAGAGGCTTCGTCACGTTTCTGCTCATCCAGAGGTTTGTCCTGAATTACCATCACCACATCTTCCAGGAGAGACTGGCTGGCCAGTTGACCCTCCTCCATGCCTTGGGAACCATCCTCAGCATCTGACAGCTCCTGCTCCTCACCCCTCTCCAAGCCAGACTCCTCATATCTTTTGGAGTTTGGTTTCCGAATGGTTGGCAACTTCCCAATTAAGGGCAGAACCGGTTTGTTGCCTAAGGAAGGAGGGAGTTTGGGGCCAAAGTAGCCCTGGGGAGGATCTTTGAGCTTTATGCCCACTTTGTTTGCTCCTGATAGCATCTCGTCAGTGACGCAGGGCTTCTTCTCAACCTTCCTGGACTGCACCTTTTCCAAGAGCAGCTTTGCAGTGACGGAGTTCCTCTCCTCAGGACTGCAGTCCCCTTCCGAGGCCCGCCCCATGCCAGAGCCGCTGCTGTTCTGGGACAGGGAGCTAGATCCTTTCAGATCCTCTCCCTTGCCATCCTCCTTCTTCGGCAGCGACCCTTCACCTCGGCCCGTCCGGAAATAGTGAGGAGACTGGGAGCGATAGATCTTGGACCTAATGAAGTCCCTTCTGCCAGACCTTCGCTCCTCGGGGCTTTCGTGGCCCCGCGAGCCCTTCCGTGACAGGGACCTCTGCGAGTGGCTGCGGGTGCTGCGGCTGCGGTCCCGGCTGTAGCTGCGGCTGCGCTTCCAGCTGCGGCCTGTCACGCTGCGGCTCCTCCTCTTGCTCCGACTGCGGCTGCGGCTGCTGCTGCGGCTCCTGCCCCGGCTCCTCGATCTTGACCTGCCTCGAGGGTGGGTTCGGCTCCTGCTCCGACTCCTGGACCTGCTCCTGCTCGAGCTGTAGTCATCTTCTGACGAGGAGTATTTGCGCCGCTTCGAGCGGTGGTTTGAGCTGTTGTAGTCTGAGTCATCCTCCGAGTCCTGGGAGCGCTTGGAGTGGCAGCGGGAGCGGTCGCTGTAGTCGCTGTAGCTGTCGTCCGAGTAGCTCCTGTGGCGGCTGTAGCGGCTGTGCTCCGAGGATGCGTCCGAGCTGGTGGAGTAGGACCTGTGCGAGGAGTGCCTGCGGCCCGAGTGGGAGCGGCTGCGGGAGTGCTCGCTGCCCGAGTCGTAGTCATCGCTGTACTGCGACGGGGACTTCTGGTGGCAGTGCTTGCCAGGGGAGCCCTCGTCACTGTCATCATCGCCACTGCTCTGCTGGCTCCGGCAGCCGCTCCGGGGCTGGGACAGAGCCGGGCAGCGCCTCCTCGCACCAGGCACCTGTTGCAGCTCAGCCTTGTGTCTTTTGCTGCCATGCTCTTGGCAGGAGTTACCCCCGTCCTCTTTTTTACTGCTGCTTCCCTCCTCAGCAGACAGGGATTTCCTCTGGGACTCCTGGGAGCATCGCTTTTTCTTCTGGAAATGGCTGCAGTCTTCAGACAGTTCAGGTTTCAGCGCCCGGTCTGACTCTGTTGAAAGGGAGGATTTACCTTTTTTGTGCCTGTGCCTTTTCCGTTTCTTGGGTTTCTCTTCCCCCAGCTCAGCTTTCCGGGCCTTCTCCTCAGCTTCCTCCTTGTGTTTGCGTTTGTGTCTGCTGGACTTTTTGTGCTTCTTTTTCTTTTTGTGTTTATGGGACCTTCCAGATTTACTCTTACCCGTTATACTCTTACTGCTGTCCTCCCCTTCTCCCTTACTGATGCTTCCCAGACTGGACTCCTGCTTGCTCTGGGATTTGTTTTCCGTTTTTTGAGCAGAACTGTTCTCTACACTTTCGGCCTCCTTGGCTTTGCTCACCTCACCAGGTTCTGCGCTCTGAGTGTTGTCTTTACAAAGCCCCCCTGGATCCTTGGATTTCTCTGCCCCTTTCCCTTTTGCATCCTTGTTACGGGAGAGCTTGAAGTCGAAGTACAGGGGGTTACAGCTGTAGGACACAGAGGGCTCAGCTTTGGTGAAGATGAGCAGCTCTGAAGGCCACTGCAGTGTTGTGCTCTCATCCTTACTCAGAACAGGGAAAAAAGGTCCCGTGGGGTGCTTTGGTCTCTCAGAGCCATCTCTGCAGCCCGAGGCAGGAGGAGGAGCTTCTTTAGCAGTGTCTGGCTCCGGGGGATTGCTCTCTGGAAGGTGCTTGCTCTCCTGTGTATTTTCATTCTCTGGGATGTCTTTTCGTTCTGTTTTGTCCTGCTGAGCTACAGTTTCAGTAGTACTCTGCTCTTTCTGCTGCCCCGTGCTCTCAGCAGCCTTTTCCGTGTGCTTGCTGGGCTTAGGTTTGGGGGAACTCCCCTTTTTCAATTCGTGCGCGTTTTTTTTGTTCACATTTTCTGCTTCCGTTTGCTCAGTAGCCTTCATGAAAAGCAGGAACTGAAAGTTGGGCTTTACTTTACAGTGGGCTGGGGGGATGTAGTGGTAATATTCTGGCTCCACGGCCGTTGGTCCATCTTCTCGCCTCATCTTCTTCAGTTTGGACAAGGTGCTGGCCAGAGCCCCGCTGTCCTTGTCGTGCTGGTCATCGTCCTCCGCCTTGCCATCAGAATTATTGGTGCCTTCACCCTCCCCAGACTTCTGCAGGCTGCCAGCCTCCGAGGACCCCCTCTCATCACCTTTTGCCCCGTCTGCAGAACTGGACTCGTCCACGTGGTCCTTGAAAACAGAAGCAATGGTCTCCAGCTTCACTGGGGTCTTCTTGGCAAAGGAAAAGGACACGCCAATCTTCTGTAGCGGAGTTCCCAGAGAGCTCTTAATGCCAAAGCTGATGGCCTGTGCCCCCTGTGATGTCTGGCCCGGCATCACAGTGCCTTGTCCAGTGTTCAGGAAGCCTCTGTCCGTGGTCATCTCTGAGGCCTGGCCGGAGCTCATCTGGACGAAGGAGCCGCTGTTGGCTGCGGAATCATCGTCGTCTCCACCTTCCTCGTCCACAGCCACTGTGGTGGTCCTGAACATGGGCCCACTTCCAGGAGCACTGGAACAGGGGAGAGAGAAAACACAGCTTACTGGTGTCCCTGTCCCTCTGCAGGAGGATCCATCCCTCAGTGGAGACAATCTTGCACAGTTCAAGTGCTCTTGCACCCAGACACATGCATTAAAATATCATTATACAGCCACTCAAAATTTTTAATAATGGTAAATTACTGAAGAAAATGTATTGCTGGATAAAGCAATTTGGGGATGCTCTCCATGATCAGTTTAGTGAATTCACACCTACCAAAAGCCCAACATGAGTCCCAAACACCAGTGTGAAACTTTGCCCCCAAAGCCCATGCAGTATCCCAGAGCAGGAATGCCAGCCCAGCCCAGGGCTGCAGCCCCCCAGGCTCCAGGGGTGTTGGGGACCACCCAGACTCACCACTCAGGCTGCCTCCTCTGCTCAGCCAGCTCGTGCAGGCGCCGCAGGGCTTTCTCCTGCTTCCTCTCATCTTTCCGGGATCTCGACGAGACATTGCGAGCAAATTCCCTTTGCTTGAGATCTTTCAACCTCTGAGGCAAAAGAAAGCAGGGATGGATCAGATCAAAGCTGTCTGTGGCTTGTCCAAGAGCAGCACTTTGCTGTAGCACTGGAAATTGTGGTGTCAAGCCCCTCCCCAGGGACATTCATTGAGCCAAGATGGAGCAACAGCATCTTAGCTCAACAAACCCCACGGAGCACACTGCCATCCTCCCAGCAGCTGAAGGAAAAGACAACTGGTGGTCACTTTTGGCTATGACTTCAAGTTCTGTGTATACCCCTTTCCAATCAACACTACTGGTTTTCTTTAGCATGGACAACAAAGCCGATTTCGAAGCAACAAGCAAATTCTGGAAGGAAAAGGGGAAAAGAAGAAGGATTGTTTACTTTGCTGCTCTTGCAGCGTGCAGATGTACTTGACAAACAGTGCATGACACGAGTCAAAAGCATGGGCCAAGGGACAGGAGGGATTAGCTGGTGCCAGAGCTACCCAGGAATGACATCTGACAAAAGCAATGTACCATTACATTGGAGAAGGAGCCAAAAATCCCATGCAAATGATTTCATAAGCAAACCCAGAGTACAACATACACCACCAACCAGTTACTTGTTTCCCTGACAGTAGTTCTGAGAGGGTCAAGAAACAGACTGCTCTAAAGGCAGGAGGGTCTCTTGGGGTTAAATACCTTGGGGGCGGGGGGGGGCAGAAGCACCAAGTTCCCCAGAAATCTTATAATGAGGGAGCAAACCCAATCCCAAGGAATTTCAAACATCCTAATATCACTGAGGAAGTCTAGGTAGTCAATTTTATAGAAAATAAACATCCAAGACTTCAGAACATTTTGGAAAGTCCTTGTCTCAGAGCACTAGGGAGAAGAGGCTGCTGGTTTTTCTTGGAATATATGTGGATATTCACAACACTTTTTTAGAGTGCTCTACAGAAGTTTAAGTAACAGAAAGCAACAAAGACAGACCTCTACCATCCTAAAGGGACTCATTGTTTTTTTTAAGTGCACAGTTCAAAACCCTTTCAAAGGGCCCAGTTCCAGAACGCATCTTGTACTCAGCTTTTGGAAAAAGTTTCATGTTTTTCAGGCATTTCATGCAGGGCCTGGGAGACTAACGAGACTCAGAGCAGGAGTCACTTTGGAACAATTCTTGTACAGGATGTACAAATCACTGGTGAATTCTAAATACTTCTGGCTGGCTGACTCTGCCTCTTTCCTGGAGCAGAGTCAGACTGCCACACACAGAAACAGTGGATCTGGAAACCAACCCAAAGCTCAAATTAGAGGAATTAAGCTGGCCCAATGTAAAGAGAACATTGCTTTGTGAAAAAGGGAGAGACTGGACAAGACAGAGGATTCTCTTACCTAATTGTATTTACTAAATGTGGTTGATTGTTACCAAAATCAGAGGGGAGGACACACAAAAATGATACAACTACAGACACCAGTAGAAAGAAACTCACTCTTGTGATCTGGACTCCCAAATTAGAAGGGTTTGCTTTCAATACATCAGCTGAAAACGTCACATCACAAAGAAAAAAAGAAAGTAAAAATATAACAAGAGTGGAAGAGAGGAAAAAAAAAAACCAACAAGCAAGCATTACTAGAGAGCTGTGGGGGAGTGTGCCAGCTACTCTACGGAGCGGGAGCGGAGCCACGGGAGCGAGCCGGGGTCTGCAGCACGGACACGCACGGACACAGCCATGATCCCACCTGGAACAGCAGAGCTACTCTCACCAGGACAAGTAAAGGGCTCAAGGGTTTTGTGGTGTATGTTACATGTTGAGGAGTACATTTTTTTCCAAGAGGAAGGAAAAAAAAATAAAATAGATGGACTGAGCAATGCTATCAGCTTTTTCATGCTGATTTTGAAAGTGTGTCTGAAATGCTCTGGGAAGTTACAGCCACCAACAGCTGACAAAACTATTTAATGGGGGCTGATGCCAAGTCTAGAGATCATTCACCCATCTGGAAAAAGGTATGACCCAGCTATTTACCAGACATGAACTGTGACCTTTTCCTCTCGAGAGGAAGGTGCAACGGTGCACTCAGAGCCCCCTGAGCCCCAGGCATGGTCCTGATCATCCTCCAGGACACAAAGTGGGCTCAGAGCTGTTGGGAACATGCAGCTGCCCCCAGGCTCTCCTGCCTCCATTACATGGAATTTGAATGCACACAGAATTAAATGCCCATTATTAAATGCTGACCTTTGTGTGTTTCTGCTCCCCCAAACCTCCCACTGTCAACACTTCAAATTTAGAGGTGTGAAGCAAATGAACTACCCCAAAGCATTGTAATCCAGAATATGCACCACAGCAACTCCCAGCTGCACCCAAACCTGGGCCCTTTAGGCTGACAAACCACTGGCCCTGGCGTCAAGACTGCTGAGAATTTGGTACTGCCAAAACTGGGGAAGAGTTGGTCTGGTTTTCAAAGGACCAAGAGATCTCAAGGCTGAGTTTCTTTTTGTCACACAGGAGTCAGGAGGAAAAAGAATCTTGCTGGGGAAGTAAAGGATAGAAAAGCTCACAAATGCACTGTGCCAGCTCCTTGGAAATGCACAATACTGAACAGAACATAGCTCAGCTTTAGACTGAACTAAACCAGCAGACCTATCACCAGAAATGACTCCAGGTGTGCAAGAGACCTGGCTGGACTGCATTACCTTCCCTAAATGCATCCTGGGGGAGGGAAAAGGGGGAAAACAGGAGCCCACACTGCTCATCTGTACGAACAACCTGCTGCAGGAATGAAAAATACCCAGAACTTTTCAAAATAACTTGTAACTCTCCCCTCATTGTTTCAAATATGTCACTGAAACCAGTGATTCATCCCCTCAAGAGTGGATAACCAGTGCAGTACAGCCCTGCCCACCCTGCTGCCCAGTCCTGACTGGGAAGGAGCAATCCAAAGAGAGTTTCATTGGCTGAAGGGAGCACGTGGAGCACTGAAATGCTGCTCACACACTTCCAGGTCTCAGCCTGCCCAGGAAATCATCTGAACTAAACAGATATTTAAGCTCAGCTTACACTGAAGAAATTTCCATCTAATCCTGAGGAGAGTGTTATTCTAATCCCCCAAAAACCTCTAAATGACTTTTTGGACCACACCATCTGTGCAGGTGTGAGTGAAGCTGGAGGTGCATGGAACTGCCCCTTCCCCAGCACCACGGAGAAATTCCAACAAGGATTTAACACAGCCACTCAACCATCCTCAGGGAGCTTCTCCCCTCCACAAGGAGCCCTGGGAACTCATACTGTTGAGGTGAATCTTCCCTTTTAAAGTATTCCTATTGTGCTTAGCAAGACAATGATTTCTTTCTTCAAGGATTAGAGCCAAACCTGTATTAAATCAAACACATGCTTCATGCTATTACAAGATTTCAAAATTAAGGGGCATTTTTTTCTCCCTGGGCAGTGTGTTTTCTGAGGAATCAGCAGTTTATCCAAGCAGCAACATCCTTCCAAACTGCAGGATCATGGGGACCATAAAGCCAAGGAATATTCTGCTGGTTTATTACTTCAGCTGTCAGAAGGGCTACACTGCAGTGACCAGCAGTGACACAAATCACCAGCACTTACATAAAATTTCTCCAGATTTCCACATGCTGTAGGCAGTAGTTCACTACCTCCAGCCTTCCTGGGGTCTATTAATAGCTGCCACCCCCCTCAGCTTTAGAACAAAGAACAGTATTTTAAGTTTCCAGCCTTGTTTCTAACAAAATTCCAAACTCGTCTCTGCACTTCCACAAGAGTGCAAATAGAGTTCCTAAAGAGCAGGTTTGATATCAAATCTGCAGCCACCTCTGCTCTGCAGCACAGAGAGGCCACAGTGCTGGATTATTTCCCAATCCCTGCATGGCTCAGGAGGGGCCAAACTGGCAAACACCACCAGTACCTTCCAATTCTCACAAACCAGCTTAAACCAGCTGCACCACTGCTGAAAAGCTCCTGAGAGCCCATCCCTGGCACAGCAAAGGGGGGAAATCCAGGGGGGTGAGCAGGAGTCAGGAACTGCTGCAACAGGAAAATCACTGGATCATCACAGAATGTCCTAAGTAGGAAGGAACCCCCAAGGATCATCCAGTCCCACCCCTGGCCCTGCACAGACACCCTAACAACCCCACCCCATGAACCCCACCTCTGGGAGTGCTGTCCAAGCACTTCTGGAGCTCTGGCAACCTCAGGGCCATGAAAAAACTCAGCACACCTCAGATTTTGTTGATGAGATGGTACCAGGTAAGACTTCCCCAGAACCCAGCTGGGGTGCAGAGCTTTACAGGCTCAGGACCAGCAGTAAATGGATTTTCTCCATTTAAGCTGACAAAGCCACACATCATCACTGAACTGAGGCCCAGTGAGAGACATTCTGCCTAAAAGTGCAGAGCAGAAAGAGCCTCTGTTATTCTCACAAGGCAAAAGCACTGTCACCAGACCTAAAGATGTGAGACTTTCATGCCAAACCTCACACTGAGATGGGTCAAAGCAGATCCACCTCTGGGGCTTGAGGCAGGAGGCAGCACCCATGACATCAGAGCCCCCTCCTCCCTTGCCATTGTTCTCATGTCTCTCTGCCAACCCACATTAAATAAAATAATAATAATAATGTACTTTTCATTCTGTGCCAGCAGATTTCTTGCTTTCTGAACTTTTGATGTCTGCTTGATTCTTTGCCCCAAAAGCTTTTGGGAGTGAACGACACCATGAAACACAAGCTCAAAGGACGGGAACCTTGATCATTTTACTGAAGTAGGAACACAAGCCTGGCTTATCTTTGGTCATCAACATTCCTTGCACGCTTATAAATGAAGTGAAAAGAACAGAGGGGAAATGGCCTGCAAATGCTGTTTTATTTCATCTTAATTTCCTCCCTGGAAGGAATCAATATTTTTCTTAGCTGGATTAAGAAAAATATAGAATGGGTTGGGTTGGAAGGGACCTTAAAGCTCACCAGTGCCACCCCTTGGCATGGGCAGGGACACCTTCCACTATCCCAGGCTGCTCCAAGCCCCAGTGTCCACCCTGGCCTGGGGCACTTCCAGGGATCCAGGGGCAGCCCCAGCTGCTCTGGGCACCCTGTGCCAGGGCCTGCCCACCCTCACTAGGGAGAATTTCCTCATCATCTCTAACCCCAACCTACTCCCTTCTCAGTTAAATCCATTCCTTTTTATCACTCCATGCCCTTGTCCAAAGTCCCTCTCCAGGTCTCTTGCAGCCCCTTTATTGTTAAGGTGGGTCTTCCGAGGGCAAAGCATTTCTGGAGCAGAAAAACCTCCCGTGTAACACCAAATACCTCAGGGATTCCCTCCTCAGTCTTCTCCATTCAAGCCGTGCTTGGAGGCCCAAGGTTTTGGAAATCTCAAGTCTCCCCAAAACATAAAGTTCAGGGTTTATATTCAGAGTATTCCTCAACCCTAGCAGTGACTGTCTTGGTCACATTATTGTGCTTGAACAGATCCCTCCCCCTCGGCATGAGAAGCAAAGATGCAGCTAATTAGGGCACAAAGAGAACTGCACATCTATACCTTCAGTCTGAGTTCCACCCTCTTTTCCCAAAGAACTTCTTTATGGAATACACTCCCTTTGCCCTTCTACAAAGAGAATCTAGGCAGAATTAATCCCCTACACCTCCAAAACACCACATACTTAGGGGAAAAAACAGCTACATAAAATCTGCATTTCAATGCTGGTTTGTGCTCTCCCAGGGAACCTGGCACAGGTTCACTCAGGAACACGTTTGTTTTGCACAGGCAATGCAGAAGGGGAATGTTTTGATTCTGTTGGGTCAGTGACTCAGTAAACAGCTCGAGCCCTCAGCAGGCACACAAGCAGAACGAGGTGATGGTGGGAGATTCTCCAAGTTCTTGGATTGTTAAAAACCCCCCACAGTAAAAGCTGACTGGAAATGCTACATAACTTACACAGAAGGTAATTCCAACCGTAACTCTTGAAGGCTGCTTCAGGTGCTGGGCCCTGCACATCCAGGTTTATTTGACAGGAACACACAGACTGGGCACAACCCAGACAAGGGGCTCATACTCCTCTTCACACAAATCTAACACGAGGTCTTTATCTTAATATCAAAACCCCAAACCAAATAAGGAGTCCTCACAGGTGTAATGCCTTAAGGACACATTCCCACTGAGTCCAGAGTGTTCTAGGACTGTGGGAGCTCCCAAGGATCAGGACATTGTGGATCTGCAGGACAGCAGCACAAAAATCACAGACTGGTTTGGTTTACAAAAGATCCTGAAGATTACCTTGTGCCACGGGCAGGGACACCCTGCACTATCCCAGGCTGCTCCAAGTCCTGTCCAACCTGGCCCTGAACACTTCCAGGGATATATGCTGTGTCCAGCTTCACCACCCAAGCTCCTTCTTAGCTACAGAAGTTTTCTTTCTACATTTGCCACCTTCTGTCTGTTAATTATTATTATTTATTACTCTGTTGACTGTGAGGATTGGGCATCATCAGGAGTGGGGCCCTTCATAACCTACCAGGCCTTCAAGACTTAAATCCTGCAGCTAAAAACCCCACCATTAAAGACATCAGCAGCAGTACAAGAAGTTGTGAGCTGCAGCCTTTCCCAGCTGCTCACTGCAGGGTGTGTGAGAGAACTGAGCTTACTGTCCCTCCTGCAGGGCCACCTGCACCCACTCCAGCTGCCTGCAGTCCTCTGAGAGGGACAGGCCATGTGCTGACCAGAGGGTGACTGCTCCTTAAAACAGCTGCACTTCTCATCAACTATCAACCTAATTAAAACCAGCTCCAGAACAACACTGCACACTTCCAACACAATGGCTAAAACATGTCAGTGGTTTGGGAGAATAAATGCAAGAATCTTTTCCCAGGTAAGGAAATGCTGCCTTTTGGAGAAACTTGGTGTTGAGGTTGATTCAGATGTAGCCAAATGGTCTGTGAAACCAGGACAGGCAGGAAGCAAAGAGAATAAACCTCCCCTTTAATTATTTGGTGTTGACATAATTTTGGTGGGTCCAAAATTCATCCGGTTGGGATCAATACACTTACCTATCATCCCTGTTGGGCAATAATCCCGAGTTCCTTCCTGGAATACAAGACAGTGTCTTTATAACTCGGGAGTGGCAAGGGATCTGAGGATGGAACATCTATTTACAGGGACAGCCTAGTGCTCGCAGAGCTACAGAGGGATAACCAAACACTTCAACGTCAGCAGGATGGGGAACTAAAAATACTTAAAAGCAAAAATGTTGTGGAAACTGAGCCAAGAAAAAAGCAAAAACGAGCTCTGTTGCCTCAAAAATTACTACCGAGACAACAAAATCTTGCAGATGATGTATACCAAGCTGGGATGCTGTAACTAAGATATTGTAATGGCCTTTCTTTCCAAGAAAGACAACTGATGGCCTACTTTTAGGGAAAAGTTCATGTTTTTCCTCAAAAACTTTAGGCTCACCTTTCTACAACCTCGCGCTCTTGTCCAAAGAGACAAACTATAAAACATCAATGTGCAACATATCAAAAACACAGCTTTTTTTTTCTTTAACTCTTAAGATTCAGACTGGACTGCTGGGTATGAGCCTCCCTGGAGCAGGAGGGAGCACAGCAGAGATAATGTTTCTTATGCAAATTCACTGTCATTTTGTCTCGGGGGTTTCAAGTTCACTCCCTGAACGCTGACCCAGCGGGGTCACACACATTTCAGCCCAACAAAGCCGGATAAGCAATTTTTTCCCTAAGCAAAGCATGATTGCTTCTTTGTTTAAATCCCTTTGTAACTAGAAATTAATGCTGGGTGATGCAGCCAGAGTTTGGAGGCTCATTTTCTTCAAAGCCTGCCTGAAGTGACTGCAATAGATGGAATTATCCAAGAACATAATTCCTCTCAAAATAATCAGCAGTACCAAGCAACCTCCAAATTCTTTCTCCTGATGAGATGACCCAACCCTGTGTGCACACAAGACATTTTTCTCTCAGGCCACTTCTGCTGATGACTCATTTTACTGCTTTCCACAGGTTGGTTTCTTCCTCCACAGCATCTCCAGCTGCTGAGCCCGGCCAGGCTCACGTCAGTGTCCCATCAGTCACCGAGGGCTGAAGCAGCTCACGGAATCCCACGGCGTCAGCACACCAAGAATGTGACACAAACAGGTCCTGCCACCTCCCAGACAAATGCAGGTCACTGCACTCAGGTTTCAGCCAAACTGATGGAGACCTTCCAAGGAAGTTCTCTGCTCTCAGGCATCACGACTGAGCTTGGCCAAAACCACCCCTTTGCCCAAGAACCAAAGGAAAAAAATTAATTTCTGCTCTTGATTCTACTAAACCACTCCTCTTCACAGAGCCCAACTGCCCTGCCATGAGAATTCCTGACAAGACTCCCTTAGCTCAAAGCAGATTCTCTGTCATATTCTACACTTAATACACACAAACAAAAATTGTACTCTAAAGCCACATTCTTGTTTACAAGCTGTTTTCACTGCTATTTTGCAAGCTCTACAGCACATCCTCCTCAAGTTACCAGCATTTTGATGACTGTGTTGTTAGAATTTATGACTAGGAACATTAAACCCCTCCTCTGAGCCCTTCCAGCGCTGGAGGAGCCCAACACTGCTATCTGCTGTACAGTTACATCTCATTTAGCAGCTTAAATGGTCAAACAGATCAGGCTAACACAAGAACTTCCATTACTTACTGTGCAGCATGAAGCACCCTGCAGACACTACAGTACATCCCTAGCTTGGGAAAAAAGCCAGCTCCACAGAGACTCTGAACCCACCTTCTCTTGAGAATTACAGAATTTGGAAAGTGCTCCTTTCTTAGGATTCCTTTGACACAGCCCATTGTTTCCTAGTCCATTTTCAGTAACTCCACAGAACACAGATTCAGGTAGTAAAATGCGGGGAATCACCACTCCCCAAAGCTGTACTAATGCTAAAAGCAAGCTGGGAGCCATCCACCTCCATGTGTACTCTCCTCAGTTTTACACCAGCACATCCCTGCCTGCTTGTCTTTGAGAAATGGGGCTCCTTGATACCAACCATGGAGTGGGGCTTGGGGTTCTTCTGTTGTTTTGGGTACTTAAATGATGATGGGCACAAAAATCTTATCCAGCGACATAGAACACCTGTTCCAGGACCAGTAAGGAAAACATACACCAAGGAAACTCCAAGTATTAACCACAAACAAGACCACCACAATGAACATCAAATGGATGAACTGTGCTGTTTACAACTGGTTACCTGCTTGTGAGCATGGTCATAGGAGTTTATGTGGTTGTCAAACTCCTGGTGCTTCTGATACTGCTTGTCACAGAGTTCACAGTAGAAGTTTGCTCTGAGGTCTTCCAAAGCCTTGGCAATGGCCTTTTCTTTATCAACATAATCCTGAAAAATTAACAAAAAATTGCTTCTGTTAAGGGTCCTCTAGAACAATCTGGAAGATGATGGGTTAGTTCTTTAAGGAAAAATAGTGCTTAATAAAAACTTAAGTGTACATGGATTACATTTATTACAGGTTGTCTGGGGTTGGAAAATGCCTCCAAGATCACTGGGTCCAACCTGTGCCCAATGCCCACCTTGTCCCCAGCCCAGAGACTGAGTGCCACATCCAGGACTTCCTTGGACACCTCCAGGGATGGGGATTCCACCCCTGCCCTAGGCAGCTTCCCTTTCAGTGAAGAAATTTACCCTAATATCCAATCCAACCTGCCCTGGCCCAGCCTGAGGCCGTTCCCTCTCCTCCTGTCCCTGTTCCCTGGAGCACAGCCCGACCCCCCGGCTGTCCCCTCCTGTCAGGAGTTGTGCAGAGCCACAAGGGCCCCCCTGAGCCTCCTTTTCTCCAGGTTGAGCCCCTTCCCAGCTCCCTCAGCCTCTTCTGGGGCTCCAGCCCCATCCCAGCTTTGTTCTGGGCACTCTCCAGCCCCTCAGTGTCCTTCTAATCATGAGGTGCCCAGAACTGGACACAGCACTTGAGGTCCCTCAGCAGTGCCAGCTCAGGGGACAGTCATTGCCCTGCTCCTGCTGCCACCCCAGTCCTGGGACAGGTGCCACTGGCCTCTTGCCCACTTGGGCACACCTGGGCTCATGTCCAGCCTCTGCTGACCAGCACCTCCAGGTTCTGCCCAGCTATCCATCATTTTGCCCCCACCTGGAACCTCCCATGGGGTTGCTGTGACCCAAATGCAGGTCCCAGCACTTGGCCTTACTGGACCAAGCTGAGCAGCCTTTGCAAATTCACAGGTGGGATTCCAGAACTTCGCAATGCTGCCGACCTCAGTGCTATTTGTTACCCACAATCACAGAATATTCTGTGCTGGAGGGGCCCCAGCAGGACTGAACAGCCCCTGGCCACTGCAGAAGTACCACTAAAAGAAGACTGCTTCAAACAAGGCCTGTAGTGCTGATGGGGTGAGGCAGCTCTGCCTCAGGGGAGCCTCCTGGATTGTCTGTGCTCCAAGGAGAGGTTCAAAGCCTCGAGCTAACCCAGAGACATACTGCCATCAAACCTAGGAGGATCCCTGCCTTGGGGGCAGAACCTTACACCTCTAAAGCTGACACTGCTCCATTTTGAGTGCTAGGAGATGTCTGCTTGATCTTGGCTTGGCTGCCTGAACTCGGGAGGGAGGAACATGGCTCCAGCTGGGAATTACCCTTCAGAGCCTGCCAGGCCCAATCCCCTCCAGTGAAATATTCCCAGGAGCAGAACTGTCCCCAGGATGGGCTCAGCACAGTGCCTACACTGCAGTGGGCACGGGGAGCTGCAGTTAATGGGAGGGAGGCCTTGGGGTGCTGACAGGGTCTCTCCCCTTCTACAGCAGAACACCTGCACAGGTGGAAACCAAACCTCCAGGCAGAGATGGGGTATCTCACCTGTCAACAGCCACATCCTCCTTCCCTCTTTTGCTACAGGTTTTGAATATGCACTGAGCTCTAGGACTGGGGAAATCCCAGTCCCTCAGGTGGCTGCACTGGCTGGAAATCCAGGTGTGGAAGGAGCCTGTGCTGTCCCCAGGGCTGCTGCACATCTGGGGGGCTCCAAGACACACCTGATGCTGGGACACAGGAACCTCAGGGCCAGGCAGCTGTTCCCTCTTGCCAGGCTGTATCAATTACAAACCCCCCAGCAGAATTAATAAAACATCACCACTCTTCATCAGCTCTCTGGGGGAGGTTTACCCTGAGGAGGTGGAAGGCTTTACTCAAAATCAGTTACAAATGCTGCATCACAAAGCCCACTGCACTCACTGCAGCATTCCCCATATAACCATTCACCATAGGCATTTCAACTGGAATAAAGAGAAATTATATAAAAAAACAGCCTAACATTAGAGAAAAAGCACTTAAGGATCCTTTTTTCCATCTTCAATACAAACCTCCTATGGGAAGCTTCCTTCCTCAGCAAGAGGAGGCAGCAAACATTTAAGACAGAAAACTTTGAAAGGTTTTTTCCTTTGAATTTCAGATCTTGTTCATGGCAATATGGTTTATCTCCTAGTTACCACATCAAAATAACATTACCGAGCATGTTTTATATGATATAAAATTTATATTAAAAAATTCAACACCCAAGGAGAGGAAAAACATATCTAAAAATGTTAGTGCTCATGTTTGGGATTGTTTTCAATTTCAAGCACTGTTCACTTCTACATAAAAAAGGAAGCAACTTCCTGCTTCCATCTATTACCAGATGCCCTTGACAAGGGGAAAAAAAAAAAAAAAAGAAAAACATCAACAAATCTGGAGTTTTGAGCCTGAGGCAGGTCCCCAGGAAGACAAGAAAGGAAAACAGAGCAGCATGAGCTCCACAGAACACGGACGTTGAAAGTTCCTCTGAATCCCAGACAAGCTTCCTGTGCCATGTGCAGATTTTTTCGAGCAAGCATCCTGTGGCTAAACAATGAAACCCAGCCATTTGAGTGATCAGAATTTATACAAAAGAAGGGAATTAAAACACATTTCTTGGCTGCAGAGTTATCTGAAATTCTCTGAGGCTCCCTGAATGGCTGATCAGGATGCACTGCCATTGGCAGTTACATAATGGACTCCCGTGGAGCAGCAAAAAGTAATGGCTGCAGAGATTTTTCACAGATTAATACCAAAATGCAGGGGGCTAAGGATGAACTGAGCTTATAAAAACCCACTGGAGCTGGGAGAGACTGCTACTGCTCCAGAGCTCCTGAAAAAAACCTGTGCTGGATGAGGAAGGAAGAGAAAAGAGTCTCAGAGCAACAGAGGTTGGGCTGCGTTTGGAAAGGTAATTGTAAAGCCCAAGAACTCCAAGATCACAAAATGGTTTTGCTTGGGAGGGACCTTAAAGCTCACCCAGTCCCACTCTGTGGGCAGGGACACCTCCCACTAAACCAGGTTGCTCCAAGCCCCATCCAACCTTCCCAGGGATGGGGAATCTGCAGGCCCCCTGGGTATCCAAACACCTGCAGTTCACTTACCAAGCAAATCAAGGTCTCAAAAAAAAAAAAAAAAAAAAAAAAGGAGAGGAGGCTATAAATTTTCATAGCTGAACAAACTGCCTGAAGAATTAACTGTTCAACTGGGGAAATGGAATTTTAGATTTGCCAAGGTTATGTTTAATTTTAATGGCATTGAAACTACTTTCCCATTATTTCTCAAATAATTAAAATTTATGCTAGACTGACACTTCATTTGGATGTCTTGGGCTCTTCCTCAACCCTGGTACTCCCCAAATCTCTGGACAATTGAACAAGCAGGCTTTCCTCAGAGCTGATGGACTGTAGGGCTGGGAAGCAGAGGAGTGGATTAAAGGATGAGCAGAGACCATGTCTCCACAGAGAACCTGGTTACAGCTAATCCAAAAATGCTCCTGCATGTCACACTCAATCCCAACACCACAGCTCATTTTTATCAGTTTTTGGCTTACAAAATAACCCCACAGGTTTTGTAAATCCCATAGAAATACAGAATTTGTCTTTTTTTAAATGCTGCTTGAACAATTCTTCCAAACAGCTCCAGCCCGTCAACTTCTCCAAGATGGAGCCATGTCCTACCTTTCCAAAGCAAGCAGGATTTATGCAATAACATCACAATGTACTGCTCATTCCTCACTCAGTACAACACAAGAGCTCCTCCCCCCCAGCTGGAACTGCCCCTCTACCACCTGCAGGTTTCTTCATGACATGGCAGGCTCACCCGAAAAATCTGGCAGCCCTGGGTGTAGGGAAGGAAATATCCTGCTCACCCCAGGACTGCTCCTTCCAGAACAGGAGCAAAGCCCTGCTGTTGTCCTGGGGCTCTTCAGCAGCCAAACAACAGGAAGGTTGACGCCAGGAAGTGAATAACCAGTGTGTTAAAATACAAATCATCTCCACAGTGACCAAGCCCAAGAGCAGTGAATTTCTACCACCATCACTGCAGCAGAAGCAGAACTCAGCCCCACCAGAACAGATCTTTTCCCAACCAGCCCACAGACAGTGTGATGCTGATGCCCCTCTCTCTGTACCTTGTACTTCTGCCTCAGCTCCTCGGTGTCTTCCTTCTCCACCTCCAGCACTCGCCTCCGCTCTGTGGCATCCTCGGCGTAGTCGAGCTGTTTTAAAAAAAATAGAGAAGAGATGCAATTTGGTCCATAAATACATTGCACTATCAAATCTACCAGGAAGCACAACTTAACAACTTCAGCTGAAACAGAATCGATGCAAGTTGTACTTTGCTTTCCCTGCTTTGTCACCCCAAGTGTAAAACAGGTCCTTAATCCCTGTGATGTGGAGGGCTCTAGCAGGCCCATGACAGTTTTGGGGAGGGGAAATCTCAGAGCCCAGAGATTTTGGGGAGCACCCAGAGCCCAGAACTCAGGCTCACAGGGATAAACAGAGGATGCATTTTGCAGACAAGTGTTTTCTTACTGTGCTGATTCAAGAGCAAGTTGTTCTTTGCCTTGGATGAACAAACTCTCACTTTCAATGTCTCTCCCTCCCACTCCCCAGAAGCCCTGCAGGGTTGAGGGGAGCTCACCTCCATCTCCATCCGGCCCATGCCCATGACATCATACTTGACAACGATGGGGATGGGATCTGTCCTCCCTGGAAGAGGAGCACACAGAGAGGGGTCAGCAGCAGCCCAGCACCACAGCTCACTGTACACATTGGGTTTGGGTGGTTAGAGATCTTGCCTTGGAGTGCAGAGACCAGAAAGCTACAGTGAACCAAACACTAGCCATTCTCACAGCTTACAGCCAACCCTGCGTCCAGCTCCAAACGGCACCCAGGATGATAAATGTTTTTTTCTGAACATTAACTGCTCATGTAAAAGCTTCTCATGGTTAATGTTCCCCCATGACAAGCCCCGGGGCAGGGCTGATAACAGGACTTGAGTCTTCTCCTCAAGGCTTCCACATCAGGCTCCTCATCTTCCCATAAGAGTGAAGAAGCTGCTAATCACATTGCACTGCTGCAGCTCATGAATAATCGATTAGAATTTCCCTGTGAGAGAATGTGGAAGCCTCCCTCCCGCCAGCTCTTGCCCTCCCCAGGAGCAAGGAATGTTGAAGAGAAGGATGGCACAGAAGCCAAACTTCCCCCACCCCAGCCACCCAGCCTGGGCCAGGGGTGGGTCCCAGCTCCCCCAGCCCTGGAGTGATGCTCTGGCCCCACCGTGTCACCTGTAAGCTGTGAAAAGGACTGGTTGCGAAGAAAATTGACTTTGAACTAATCAAACTATGCTGGAGATTTATTTTTTTTAAAAAAACATATCTTTAATCCACTCATAACCAGCCAAACAAAGCAAAATGGGGCAGACAAGCACTTTACTACCACAGCTTTTTTTTTTTTTTTTAATTATTATTATTTTGATTTTTACATCACAACTGGCACTGGTGGTTGTGATGTAACCCACTGACAAAGTACTTACCTTCTCCAGTGCAAACCTTGAGTGAAAAAACAGAATGTTTACTTCCCTTATTATTGCTCTTGTTTGGTGTAAACAACTCTTTTGTTATACACACATACACAGGTATTATACCTTTGGGCTAAAAGATCCACACGTTGGAGTCACGCCGAAATATTCCATTGCCATCCACATGTGCAAAAGGTTAGTCTTCAAAACTGCCTCAGAAAACCTGGATAGGTGTGAACTCTTTGCCAGCATCAGCCATAATTTCTGCCAAAACCACAGCCCTAGAGGGGCTTTTTGAATCTTAAAGTACAGACACGTGGTTTTATTCAGAAATAAATCCATTTAATTAATTACTTTACGGTTTTGTTGATATGCCCAGGAATTTGATAGGCAGGTATCCATCAGGTCCAAAAGTGTGATCACATTGATCTGAAATGGTTTGGACTGAGCTTTCCTTTGGATATCTAATGCTCATCTTTGACAAGGTTTCTCTTATGCCCAATGGTATAATACAGTAAGCAGTGACTGCAATTTTTAGCAAAAGGACCAAATTAAAGACAGGTTATAAAAATGACTTCCTAGGTGCAATATCACTTTCATAACGTCTCAGCCAGGGATTTACTGGTAAGTGGTGATCCCAAATGGAATGGCTGGCACCAAGTGCCAACAATTTATTGTTCAAATTGTTTTCAAGCTTTTTTCTTTTTTGTTTTGGTTTGGTTTTGGTTATTTTGGTTCATTTTTGTTTTGCTTCTCCAGCAATTGAGATCTTTTGATGCAGCCTCATTGGCCTGGTAAACCCCTGTACACAAACAATGCATCAGTACTTTTGCCTTCTAAGGCAGTCAAAGTTTTTTGGGTTGTTTTTATTAAATTCAAAATCTATTTGGAAATTGCAGTAGCAAGTGCTAGTGCCCATCGTGTTGGGGGGGGGGAAAAATCAAGTTTGGACAGTATTAAAAATTTATGTTTAAACTGATTTTGGCAGTTCTAACACAAACAGAAACATCCCTTCTTAGCAATACCCTTTAATGAACAAGGATCAGACAAGTGTGCATAAAGAAAGGAAAGGAAAGGAAAATGAAAGACCAAGCAGAAGGATGATGGCTACAACAGAGAAAGTAAGCCTAACATTGGTGCACTGATGACAAAGGAGTAATTCAGTCTGAAAATAAAAAATTACCACTGCTAAGTTTACCATCACCACAACAAGTCCAGGATCATAACGCTGTAAAAAAGAAACACCATTTGTTAGGCAGAAACCATTAGGGGCAGAAAATAGGCCGTTTGGCAGGGAGGATGGGTAAAAAAATAATAACAGGAGGCTTCTTGCTCACCCCTCCACCCCATGACCGTGCTCTGCCCTGCAGAACCAGGGAGCCACTGGAGCAGCTCTGACTCCTGCTGGGTGCTGGGAGAGCTCCTGGGGACGGCCCTGCTCCGAGGAGGCACTGAGGCACATGTAAGCAGGCAATTTAAAAAGGAAACTAATCAGGATCTGAAGGATAACAAATATTCTGGGCCAAAAGGAACTCTGCTTGCAGGTAAGAGGAGAATATTCCATGCAAAAAGCGATGCCTCTGTTTTAAACTGAACCATCATTTCATTATGAATGCAACCTCATGTGCGGCATCCAGGTGACAAGTGGTACATCCAGGCATGTAGCACAGTTATGGCAGCAGTGCCAACCCCACATGGATCCCCCTGGAGCCAGGTGGGCAAGCAGGACATGCTGCTGGGCACTGGGGTAGCCTTGCTCCTTGTCCAAGGAAAGCCACGATGGTGAAGGGACAGGGACAGGCTCAGGGCCACCCCCGGCCTGCTGGCTGCCAGGTGGGACATGGGGAGCAGCCAAAGGGGGAAGAGTGGGACTCTCCAAGCTCAGCTCATGACTTCTCCTTTGAAGGAACTTCCTCAAGGAAAGCTTGTCCTACTGCTGGCCATGACAATGGGACCTTTCCCAGCAGGTAAACGTGGCTTGGACGTTGGGAGCCTCCCAGGTTTGGGGTCCCTGCTGAACCTTTCCTGTACACCAGCATGCTTTGGAGGGAGCGTGAGATTCCAAGGTCCAGAATTCCCATAGCTCCTGCCATTCAGCAGGGCTGCAAGCAGTGCCACACAGAGGGCTAATTCCCAGGGCAAATCCTGCTGTGTCCCTGTCCCAGCCCCCTGCACCTCGTGACATTTATTTTCTTTTTGAGGCAGGTCCCAAACTCCCTCACAGACTGGTCACTACACAGGCTGCAGACCCCAAAGCAGAGAGGGTTATTGCATAAAACATTTCCACACACAGGGAAAATCTCATGGAGAGGACAGAGCAGGAACCTCCAGCAGGATGGAAAAGATAAACAGCTCACTCAAGAGTCGCACCTTAGGAAACCCAATCTCAAAGGAAATTAGGTTAGTAATGATTCCCTGCACTCAGAAATGAAATGAGATTCCCAAACTGACCTGCTGTACCTGTTTTGCTTTCCTCTCCCCAAGAAATGGGAAAACCTTTCTCCCAGCTTGTGAAAAATTGCTCAGAGCCAAACAAACCCTGACAGTCATCCCTTCCCGGAGCCCTGCAGTGGCAAGGAGCACGTGGCCAGACAGGCTTCTCCAGATTCCCTTCTTCTTAACTGCATAAAGCTTTTGGATGCAAGCAAATACTTCCCCCCGGTGCTATAAATGAGTAAATCTAGGGAAGATTCATCCTCAGGCTTCAGGGCTTTGGTATCAGACACAGGTCACGCTGCATATGGAGGACTGTGGGCTCAGGGCCATGCTCTGGCTCTGGATGTGGCATGGATGATGCTCTGCCCTCTGGAATGGGAATATCCCAGCTGGAGCTGCCATCTGAGCCTGCCTGGAAATGCCAGCATTGTCAATACCAGCCCATGTTTTATCCATTTTTTAACAAGTCAAAGCAGAAAACAGTTTTCATCAGATTTCCAGATTTAGAGGAACTCCTCCCTCCAAAAACAGCATAATGGCAATAGAATCCCAGAATGGTCTGGGTTGGGAGGGCACTTAAAAAACACTTCCTCCATGGAACAGGGACACTTTCCACTAACCCAGGTTGCTCCAAGCCCTATCCAACCTGGTCTTGGACACTTCCAGGGATTCAGGGGCAGCCACAGCTGCTCTGAGTACCCTGTGCCAGGGCCCCACCAACCTCACAGGGAAGAGTTTCCTCCCAATATCCAATGTAAATTGATCCTTTATTTAATTTATAACATCTACTTCTTGTCCTAGTCCAATAGGTAAATTTCTCTGTTAAAGGGGAATTCAGATATAACAGAATGAAAAAAAGTACCCCAAGAATTCTATGCTAACATAATTCAATCAAATCTCTTCCAGTGTGTCCCTTATGCACACCGTGTAAGCACCACAGATGTAACCCAAGAACTGTAATCCTGCTTGTTTTGTTGACATCCTCATAGAAATTTCCTCCAGGTACAAGCTTTGTAGGATCCAATCCTAGAGGAGTGATTGATATCACACTTGTCACTGGAGGAGAATTTCATAAACTCAGCATCTCCAGAGGACACAGACAACAACATCTGATCTTGTTGGACACGGAGGATTTCTCCTTATTTGTTATCTTTATGCTGCAACTGAAACCCACAGTAAGACACAACCTTCCAGGGGATTCTAGCTGCTCCTGGCAAGGGACTCTCACTCAGCGGCGTGCAGGGCAGGCACAGGGGTGGAGAAGGGCTGGTTTGTTCAGTCAGTACAAACCTCACTGCAGGCTCTGGAAGGGAAACAGGTGCCTGGAGTCAGCAACCAACACCTACAGGAATGGATCCACAGGGATAGGGCTCACCTTCAGCTGCACTGTCTGGGACGAGGGAGACAGGGAGGAGTCCCTGAGCTCATGAATGAGTTGCACTTTTAAAGGTGAGAATTTTGCAACTCAACACTCCTGGGACTGTTTCGATACAGCATGGGGGGCTGGCTCTGCTTCCAGGGAACAAGTGACAGGACAAGAGGGAACAGCCTCAAATTGTGCCAGGGAAGGTTTAGGTTGGATATTGGGGAAATTTCTTCATGGGAGGGGTTGTCCAGCCTAGGAAGAACCGGCCCAAGGCAGTGGTGGAGTCCCCATCCCTGGAGGGATTCAAAAGCTGTGCAGATGTGGCACCTGGGGACAGGGGTTAGTGGTGCCCTGGCACCACTGGGCTCCCTAAAAGTCTATGAGAAACCAAGAGCTGTCCTGTTGAAAATTCAGACTCCTCATTCAGTACATCAAAAGGGGAGAGAGGAGAAAATCCACTAATTTTCACTGATGCAAAAGCCTTTGGTGCTCCTCACTGGCTAAAAATGACACCACGTCATCAAACTCATTCCAACTGCTGCAAGAAGCAAATGAACAAACAAGGGCAAGCTTTAATCCCAGCCCTCTCTGGGAATTAGATTTGTGAGCTCATCCTGTTTATGTCAGATTTCTGGAAGGGGTCAAAACAATCAAGAGATTCAAACAAAGGTCCATCATCCTTGGTAGCAAACAAAGTTCCAGAGAGGAGAGAGTGTCTTTCAAGAACACAGAAACTGCCCTGTGAATTTAATCCTTACTAAGCAGGGGAGAAATGACGAGAGAAAGTCAAGCTGTAAACATCCCAATCACATGGAAAACTTCCAGTGGGAGCTCAAAACTTTGCAGACACACAAACCAACGGTGCCACTTGCAGAAAGCCAAGCTGAGGTTTGACACTGAGGCACCAAGCAGAACTTCTGCGGGGAAGGAACGTAGTAGAGTTCTGGGTCACAAAACACCCCTACCCCAAATGCTGGGCAATGGATTAAAGAGCAACACAGAAGGTGTTGGAGCAAAACCACAATTTCTGGTTGATTGAGGACAGGAATTCAAGGTAAGAGTTGCTGTCTGTGCTCATCTTGGCAAGTGGACAGGGCTGAAGGGTCTGCTCTGATTCAGGGCTGCACTGAGGAGGAGGCAGGCTGTGCATGGCCACAGCCTCTCCCTTCTCCACACTTCTCTCTCCCAGTTTAATAAAACTGCTCTTCCATTGCACCAGCAGAAAGGGCCAGAAGGCCTTGTGCCAAGCCAGGCAAAGGCCGTCTGTCACAACAAACATGTGGCACTGAAAGCACAATGACTGCAGATTTCACTTGAGTGGGCTACACCCACTCAGGCAACACAAATTCACCACCTGTAATCAAGGGAAGGATCTTACACCTCCAAAAGCAAGCAAGGGGGCAACTGCTTCCCCCAAAGGACATGAGGCACTGAGCAAATTTCCTTTTTGGTCTGTGGTCAGCTGGGTTTTAACAAGCAGTGAAGATGGGTATGATGACAGCAACCACAGCAGGCCAGGTTTCTCAAACTAAGTTCACATGCAAACATCACTCTTAAAACCACTGGTGTGATTTGTGTTGCAAACACAAGCATGAAAATGCTCCTCCATGCCAGGATTGAGGTTCCTGTGAGGACATGTGAAGATACAAGAAGATAAGAGAGCGATCACAGCTATTTCTTGGGTAAGACTGCCAAACCAACCCATGCCTAATGAATAAAGGCACTGTTAAGCACTTTTATCTGCCTCTCCTGTGTTTTCCCGTATTTATTACAAAGCTCCAAAACCCAGAAAGAAATCTGACACCCCTCAGTCCCTCAGATGCTCATTGTTCCATGTTCACAGGCCTGACACCCGTCCACCGTCTGCCTCCACGAGATCAGAGGAGCCAACAAATGGAAAACACATTAATATCTGAGCTGAAGCCATTTGGCGAGCAGGTGACAGCACCACGATTCAAGACCTTGGAATTCAAACCCTGAGCTCATTTCTCCGAGCTGCAGCTGCCAAGTGATCACATTTGTGACTGATCTCAGTTGCTCGAGTGGTCAAAGCTGTTTATTGCTCCCCACAGCCTGAGGAACATCCAGCAAAGGCAGAGCCTGCAGCCACCTGGCAATGCCCTGAAACAGGGACTCGGATCCAGTTCCATCCCAGAGCTGGTGAGCACCCCAGGGCTGCCAGGAGAGGACATTTCCTGCCTGAACCATGGGATCACAGCTTCACCTGCAGCTCTGTGCAGCTTCCAGCACTTGTCAGACGCTTCTGCTCTTCCACTCTGCTCAGCCCTTGGACCAAGAGGGAATGTTTTCCCTTTTCTGAACAGATTTGGGGAGGAATGTG